GCTGGTGTTGCTTGGAGCCAGGGCTGAGCATCCGACCAGCTCTGGGAGGAACGTTCCTTCAGCCCCACAGCGTGGGGATGAGTGTGGTTTGTGGGGAGGGGGGAGAGAGCCTTTCCCTTGCTGGGGTACTGGGGAAACCACCGTGGGCAGCTGCACTCAGCAGAGCAAGGACAGTGCTGCTGGCACATCCTAAATAGACATTAGAGGCACACATGTGCTCGGGCAGCGTCATGGTGTCCAGAGAGGTGGAGGGAGCTCACCTCGAAGGGCTCTCAGCCGCTCCATCGCAGCAGGATATGTCCAGACAGACACAACGCTCTCTCTGGCTCCTCTTCCTGCGGGTCCCACAAGCGGACTGAGCCACCGCTCCCACCGCTGCCACAAGGGTGTATGAGGTAGCCACTGTGACATCACACCGCAGTGTCACCTCACAGAGAATGACGTGTCCTGGGCTGGGGACTAGACAGCATGCAGGGTAACCCTGCAGGCCCTCAAACACAGCATGTTTTTGTGATGCACTTGGCTCTGGGGTTCCAGTTCCATGCTGAACCGGAATTTCCATGCAGGGAATCACCTCAGCGGGTGAGGGAGAGCCCCTGCCAGGGAGCAGCTGCTGGGCACTGTTGCCTAGCATTGTCTTACTGATTGGGGACTCCATGCTGGGAGGCACTCAGGCCCCCATCTGCTGCCCAGACAACCTCTCCAGAGAGCTTTGCTGCCTTAAAAAGGCATGTGTCAGAGATGTTAAGGAGACTCCACCGCATCTGACCAAACAAGAACATCACTATCCTCTTGTTGTCATTCAAGTAGGGTCATGGGAGGCTGCCATGAGGAAATGGCAGAACATCAGAAAGGGACTTTGCATCCCTTGGAAAGACGCTAAAGGGATTGGGAGCGCCAGGACTGTTCTCCTCTGTCCTTCTGACTGAAGGCTGGGTCCCAAAAGAAAGGAGAATAGAGGTGGTAAATTACTGGCTGATTACTGGGATGGTGTTGGGATCGAGGAAAATAAGTTAGGTTAAAAGTTACATGCCTTCATGAGGTGCTGAATTGGCAGCTATAGATCTGACCTTTCTGAGCCAGGTTTTTGCTTCCGATAACGGATGCTTTTCTACAGACCTAGAGGGTTAGTATGGACAGCGAGTCTCCTACTTCTCCAAATAACACTGTTAGCTATCCCATCTCTGGAACGCAAGGAAGCAGGCTGGGGCAGTAACCACAAATTAACAAAGAAGCAGTGGAATATTTATATTTATGAATATTAATATTTATGAATATTCTGGAGGTCCTGGTGGATGAGAAGCTGGACATGACCCAGCAGTGTGCGCTTGCGGCCTGGAAGGCCAACTATATCCTGGGCTGCATTAAAAAAGGGGAGACCAGCAAGGAAAGAGAGGTGGTAGTCCTCCTCTATTCAGCTCTTGTGAGGCCCCGTCTGGAGTACTGCATCCAGGCCTGGGGCCCCCAGCACAAGAAATATGCCCTCCCC